GCAAATGTCCGATGGAAATTCCGCTTGTCCATTGGATCCAATGGACAAACAAAATTCCAATGGACATTCCCAAGTCCATTGGATCCATTGGATCCAATGGACAATTCGTTTGGCTATCTCAATGGCCTTGTATATCTACATGATGTCCATGTGCTTGTCATTACGTCACTCAAATACATGGTAATTGACCAACTGAAAAAGCAAATGTCCGATGGAAATTCCACTTGTCCATTGGATCCAATGGACACACAAAACTCCAATGGACATTTCCAGGTCCATTGGATCCATTGGATCCAATGGACAATTCGTTTGGCTATCTCAATGGCCTTGTATATCTACATGATGTCCATGTGCTTGTCATTACGTCACTCAAATACATGGTAATTGACCAACTGAAAAAGCAAATGTCCGATGGAAATTCCACTTGTCCATTGGATCCAATGGACAAACAAAATTCCAATGGACATTTGCAAGTCCATTGGATCCATTGTACCCAATGGACAATTCATTTGGCTATCTCAATGGCCTTGTATATCTACATGATGTCAATGTACTTGTCATTACGTCACTCAAATACATGGTAATTGACCAACTGAAAAAGCAAATGTCCGACGGACAAACAAAAATCCAATGGACAAACAAAACTCCAATGGACAATCCAATGGACAAACAAAACTCCAATGGACATTTCCAGGTCCATTTGACAAATGGAAAGTCCAATGGCCTTTTGATTTTTCCATCGGACATCTTGCATGGGTATTGGACATTAATCTTTTCGCGCGGTGTTACGCACACGTGCTCTCCACGCTTGTGTTTGTCGCGCATGCGTAGATATAAGTCCTCTCTGTTGTCAGCGGCAATAATCGAAGGTTGAAATTAGCTGGTTTCTAAGTCACAATATACAAATTATACAAAACGCAAGATTAAAAATTTTTACTTATTACTGGGTGTAACTTTACAGCTCTTTAATTGACCATTTGCGTAATAGACTAAATTTTGATCTCAACAAAACTTTCTTTACAGCTTGAAAGAGCATCACAAAATTAGTAATATTCCAAAGTTTCGTTGCGAAATGTTGTAAAATGCCGAAAATATAGCCTTGCGAAATTTGCAATTTTCAGTCATTTTAGATTAAAAACCGGAAATTGACAGCCTCGAAGGGTTTGGGGCTGTCAATTTCCCGTTTTTTACAACATTTTGCAACGAAACTTTGGAATATTACTAATTTTGTGATGCTCCTTCAAGCTGTGATGAAATTTTTGTCTAGACTTGTTTAGTTCAAAATTTAGTCTATTACGCAAATGGTCAATTGACAATTATATCTTACGAAAACGACGCTAGCGCCACATTAAAACACATTTTCGGTGTTTCGTTACGCAGTAATTAAGTGTTATTGCCTAATTAATAAATAATATTAGTATAATTACATAGGTGATTATTGAAAATTCTCCACGCTGATTGGTTGCCGTTGAGGTGATTATTACGTGATAATCACCTAAGCGATTTTCAAAATGGCGGCCGAAGCCTTTTTGTCAATTAAATGACGAAGAAATGTGTATTTTCTTATTTTTTTCCAAATAATCACCTATGAAATTATACTAAAACAATTATTCACCTCAGGCTCGGTAATTATCGTGAATAAAAACCTCGACTTCGTCTCGGTTTTTATTCACCGATAATCACCTCGCCTTCGGCGAATAATTGTTAAATAATAATAATTCTTACCTCCAGTGATGTCACAGCGTACCCCTGCGTCTTCGCCGTGACCACAGTTGTTAGTTCCCACTCCTCGATGGCCGCATGAAAATAGCGATAACTCACAACCTCCACAAGCAACTTCATCAAACAAAATCGATCCAGTCCCCTCACCAAATTCAGCTTCGTCGAAAGCAGCCTGAGCATTTTGAAAGCCAAGCTGTCTGCAGACAACATGAGCGTCGTTTAAATCCCAAGCGTCATCACAAACTGTTCCCCATGTACCGTTATAGTAAACCTCCACTCTTCCTTCATTGTCACGTTCGCCGTCAACAAGTCGTACGCCTATAATTTTAAAAAATTTAATGATTATATAGTGTATAGCAGTTAACAACACCTAAAAACGCAACAGAATGAGTAAATAAGGGGTACTGAGAATGCAGCCAATTCCAAATGCAAATCCCCCCAGTCCCCCCTTGTGCCCCGCCCACGAAATCACAATTCCCCCCCCGAAAAAGTCCCTTTTTCCTAAATTTATACAAACAAACCAGCGAAGAATAACAAATAGATACACGGAAAGTAAGTTTTAGGCTGAATAACAAATAGATAAACGGAAAGTAAGTTTTAGGCTTTATCCTTAATCCTTGTTTAACAAAATCGATTTGTTACGTTTTTCTACTCACTAAGTAATGATAAATTATTGTGAATAATTTTTTATTCTTTTCGCGTTTTTTCCTTCTTTGATTTCAAATACGAGTATAGTTAGCATAAATTTTAGAGCAAATTTGGATGCTTAGAATGCAGGAAATTGCATTTCTGGGCTTCAAATTTCAAATATTTTCTGGGGGAGTATACCCCCAGACCCCCTATTTATGCGAGGGATGTTGGCCACACACGTGGCCTGCGGCCATTGCTATCCCCCCTCTAATATATTATCTTACAGAAAGGTCCTTTTTCAAAAAATGCCCCCTCCCCAGGGGAAAATCCTTAAAAAAGGCCCTGAAAACCAACCAAGCCTTACCTCGTTCAGTATCATTGACTTCTGCGGTGCTGTTTGGACGTGCTGTGGAAAAGGAAGTCAGAAAATTTAAAGAAATTACAAAGGTGTGCGACGAGGATAGTAAAAAAATGGTAGTGACATTGCCCTTACAAACTTAAAATGGAGTAACGTAGAAGATAGACGTAAACGTCACGTCTTCAATTTTGTAAGGAGCTGTCAATGTAAGGTCAATGTAAGGTCAATGTCCGCAATTTTTACAAATTTACTTTACTTGTAATAAGGATATTGTCCCACGATTAAAAGGACAGAGTTCCCTCTTACACTTGCCAAGAGTAAGAACAGAAACTATTCAAAACGCTCATTTTATTATAATGGTTGTGTTCTTTATAATGAACTTAGTTTGTTAGATATTCAACTACTGTATTCACTATTTTTATATATGTACATTATTACTATCCGTTTTACGATTTTTAGCTAAATTTTTAAATTTGTAAATATGTAATTGGCAAGTATGTAACTTGTCGTCTAAGTAACTTGTCGTCTAAATTTTCAAATTTGCAAATATGTAACTTGACATTTTAGGGCTCCCGTTGATAACAGTGATTCCTGTCCCTGATGGGATTACCATATCAAAATAAAGGTTTCATATCATACAAAAGCCTTAACCTAGCCCCCCCCCCAATCCTAAACCTTACCCAAATGGTAATCGTAAACCCTACCCTATCTCCAACCACGCGGGGTTAGAGGTTAGAGGTGGGGTTGGGGTGGGGGTCAGGGATCAGCCTTGATGCATTATGATGGGTCACACGAAGTATATACCAGCTCGTATTATTTGTCTCGCTGACCACGCGAATGTAAGCAAACTGAAAGTAGATCAAATTACGAGATTCAATGACTTTTCAAAGCATTTCGTGCAGACGAGTTTTATTTCTGATTTCTTAACTTTCGTAGATGTACTTTAAAGTTACGTGCCTTTTGAACTTCAGATAGGTTGGGCTACTTTTGATATATTATATTTTAAGTAAAATATGAGTCGTCCCCATATTGAAAACATGGTTTCGTCGGTGAAATCTCCCAAAAATTCGTATCAAGCAAATAAAGTTATTCAGTCTCCATGGAAACAAGAGTATTAATAATTAATCAATCCTGAGGATGACTACAAACTAGTCGAAACGTCGATTAAAAATCAAAATGTTATTCGGAGTTACTGTTATTTTGTATTTTCTTAAAATAATGAGTGGTTCCCGGAATTATAAGAGTATTAGTGTTTATCTTGCATGAGAAAAGTAACTGGGAATTTAAAGACAGGGCATCGTACTTTTTAAAAAAATCAGATGAATTTTTATAAAATTTTCCTTTGTTTTTGGTCTAAAAATACTCCCGCAAAGCCAAATTTCAATATGGGCAATAACTCCAATAAAACAAAAAGTTGAAACGTTCTGGAAGAAGCCTGATTAGTATTGACTAAAGTCTAGTTCATATGCAAAATATCAGCCGAATTTATTTTTCCTTCCCAAAACCGATGGGTGGACCCTCTTAATTTTGCTTTGTTTTCTAACAATTTTTGTGGTGGTTTGGGGTTGCAGCGCAACAGCTATAAATTTGTTTTGCATGCATATTGCACGCCTCCTTGAATGAGAGCGTGGTTACTCAGCTTTCGCGCATGCTCAGAGAAAGTCCCACCAGTTTATATTAGATAGCTCTCTCCTACCTATGCTGACAATTCCTATACGAGCCTGAACATGATTCGAATCGCCAACGTTGAAACCAATTTCATAAGAATTTTCCTCGAAGGCTGGATCTGTGATATTATCTTCCAAAGCATTAATCCACAGGTCTTTGGATATATTTAACGTGTTCTTTTGAAAAAATAAACTGCGAAGTGATGGAGCCTGGACGGGAAATTGAATACTAAAAGCATCCGAGGTCAAGCATACTTCTGTAACGTTAGCACTCCAGAACTGTGAATTGGAGTTGGTCTGGTCATCTCCTTTTGCAGTCCAAATTGCAGAGTCGTGGCTTGTATTATCCTAAGACAGTGAAAAGTTATAGCATTTCATTCAGGCCGAATCCTACCATAAAAACCCAATGACCTTGTCCTTATATAAACATTTCATTTTTGATCGCCACGTTGGTGTACAAACTTGGTAGACTACTTTTGGAATGTGGGCTAAATTCAACCATATTATGAATGTGGGCTAAATTCAACCATATTAAGGAGGCAAATAAATGAAGAATGATATACAGACATAGATGTTTTTAGTTCGCGATATAATATATTCAACAACAAAGACTGAAAGAAAAAATAAAACTATAAACTAATGTCAGGGAAGGCGCCGAAACCGCGCGAACGCTAACACACGAATGAAAGCAATATGGTGCAAATCATCGGCCAAATGCTGGGTATTTTTGTTTAACTGCTTCTTCAGAAATTGCGTTACACATTGTAGCAACAATTGTCTCGCGCAACATGGCTTTAAAACACGACCAAACGACGGACCTAACAGAGCGCCTAAAACGTATTATTCGTCAAGTGTAAAATATAAATACGAGGACGACTAAACTTGGACGGAAAAGAAACGCTGTAAATGATGGTAAAATCAAAATGTTTTATATTTTGTGGTCTCAAAGTCGTTATGCCATTAAGCCCAAATATGATTTTTGGTATATTTGTGATATTCGGGTCTTTCTTCGAAGAAATATAACTTATATCTTCATTGTAAAAGACCTCACTTTGTTGAACTCTTTGCTGTCACAGTCGCTCGATATGATACCATGTATTAGGGACTGGTCATAAAGTAATTGCTAGGGTGGGCTGGAGGTAAATCACAAATTTTGCCAATAAGTTTGGTGACCCATCTTAGGATGTAGATAAAAATTTCAAAGCCCATCTAATCTTGCCAAATTTATTTCATGACCCACCCACCCAAATCTAAATTGGGAGAATACAATTTTATAATATAATAAAAAAAACTTGCAGGTATGAATATTGTAAATATACACCGGCACTGTATTGACATACATAATTCCACCAAGCTTGACCAACACATTCATCACCAATTACGATACTGAGCTGCTCTCCAGTTGCTTGTATTTGCTGTGATTCAACCACTTCTTCTTGTTGTATAAAACAAAATACTGGCTTCAATAGCATCATTTGCATTTGATAATTTGGATAGTTTTGTTTACTTTTATTATTAATATTTTTATGTAATATATAATTAACATGGGTTTTTGTTTGGTGGCCCAACCGTGGACATACCAAAAAATTGGCGGCCCATCGAAACCGCCCAACGATTTTCCATGGCCCATCCCAAATCACTCCAGCCCACCCTAGCAGTTACTTTATGACCGGTCCCTTAGGTGAATTTTAGCAGCAAAAAACAAAGAAACTAATATAGCCTACATTTATTTAATGACATCTTTCCGGCAGAATGACGCAAATAGTGCCCATACAAAAATCATTGGGTTCATTCACTTTGATGCCTCTAACCGCCCAAGGCGTCTTCTAATTTAAGTACGGCTATATTTGCTTACGTTGGAATTGTTGCCATTCACTATCCCGATGAGCGTCCATCCACTTCCTGTACATCCTGATGGAATAGATTCCACGCTAGCACTATGGCATTCTGTTTCTGCAAAACCAACGGTGGTTCTTGATTTGATTAAATAACTTCCATCAGTGCCGCTATAAAAACGAACAAAGCCAAGAATAAGCGTTCTTCTACCTTATCCAGTATTTCCAAAAACCGGGGGGAGGAGTGAGGTTACATTTACCTGAATTTTTCCAACTTAACGGTTTTCACCTGAATTTACGATGTCCGCGAGGCGCCACCATGGTTGGCACCGAACAAAATATTTTGAAAATTTAAATTCTTTAGACCGTCGGAAATTAATGGCATTTTTACAGTCTTTCTTAAGCTGTAAGTGACGGTGTCACTTACAGCTTAATGTGACTAGGAAAATTGAGAAAATGAGTTTGAAATTTGGAGTCTCCAGATCGCCAGAAAGGGTATTTGGCCATGTACCCCCAGGCCACGACGCGTCTTTAATTTATAGTTGACCGACTGTTAACTCTAATTCTGATTCAGAGCACAGAGTTCCTTATTATGCCCTGAGAATTTCCTGAAAATCTGCTGGAAATTTACCTGAAATTACTCATGAGCAATTATTGAGTCGGGGGAGGGGGGTATTTGCACCCCCCCCCCCCACCCACACACACACACACACATCCCCCTGGCCGCTACGACCCTGCCAAAAACGTTCCCTTTGCTCATAACACATGAAAGCTTTAAACAAAGGAGAATTTTAACCACCTTTTAATGATAAATTTTAACGAGAAGGGCAGGCATGCAAAAATAATTATTTGGCTTGGGAAGACAAATGTCTGGCTAAGGCAAAACGTGGTCGGACCTTTATCAGTTTTTGTCGGACAATAAACAAAGTAAAGTTTTTATTTTTTCTTAAATTTACATGATGTACTTATTGCATGAAGCTGATCATATTGGTCTGCATTGCAATAATGCATCAGAAACATATATACCAGCTAGCCTTAGTACATCAGTAAATTCTCTGTCCGGAATATCGGAAATGCCCCCAAACAAAGGGGAGGAAAGGGGTAGCTCAACGCGATGGTCGGACAAAAGGTGGTATTTGAGGAGACAAAGTTCGATGACCGGCTGGCGGCTTGATTTGCAGTCCTGGAAGAAATACCTCTTCCGGCGAGGGTTGCGTGCAAAATGTCAATAAAAAATAGTTCCCATGTTTGACAAGGTATTTAAAATGATGAGGAACATTTCTTGCAGCTTTTCTGATATTTTAGTTCTTAGTTCTTGAATTATTTTGACCGAAATTAGGATAAATTAGTAAGCTATCCACCATCTTGGATTGTTGTGGATATGCATGTTGTGTCTCATATCAGCAAGGTCGAGTAAATATTTTACCGAGACAACTATGGTCATTGTTAGCCGAAAATTATGCCTTGGTTATTATTTTAAAAATATATAAATTCTTATTTGGTCACCTAAGAGTAGTTTCATACGCGGTCAACCCTGTTTTGGCGTCACTGAAATGGTAGTAAAACCACAATAACGAGATAAAAAATTTACCAAAGATGGCGGACAAATCATTGTTTTCAGAGGCATATTTTTCTTTCAAATGAGACAAACTAAATTTCCATCGCCATATCCTTTAAACATGCACCAAAGTCAGAGTTGTGTTTTTTTTTAATCAAATATTTGTATTCCAAATCTACAGTGTCTCGCTAAACCGGTCCTTACAAAAATCCTCTCCTGAAATTCGTCATCCCTTTGAAATCAGTAGGTCCACACATGACACCCATGAACCATATTCACGCGCCCGCGATTATTGATGAACACGCCCTATTGCTTTCGTTTCCCCGGGTGTAAATAACCGAGTGGAATTAGTACCCTTGCCCCGGGCTTTTGCCCGGAACAGCGCTCCAGGGCTCCGCATTCTTTCACTGGTCGCTGTTTCACATGTAGCTATAAATTTGAATTTATTCTTTTTTATACCGAGCTATTTTGGCTGTGTTAAAAATGTTCATAAAATATAATCCTTGAATAAAAGTAATATATACTTACGCTTGACAAGCCTTCTGATGAGCTTCGACGCAATCATCGTATATTGGACGAGGTTCTTAGAAATAAGGCAAATCAAATATAATTAGAGCAGAGCGTGAATTCCTTAGAAATAACACAAATCAAATAAAAGAAAGATGCTGGGTACGAGATTAATAAAATCACAGGCGGCCCAGACGTGTATTAGTGTATATATAGTAAATATATCACTGAAGAATTATACTATACAGTACACAGTAAAATTTGTAATGAATTAATTTTATATTTTAAAATCATATTTACTTGCTTACTTTGGTTGTATGTGATCGTCTTTTATTTCTGGGCGACTTTACACTCTGTCATCATTGGTGATAGGAATGAAATTATGAATCATCAATGGTTCATGAATGAAAAAATGATATCATCATTGGTGATATGACTATCATCATAGGTGATAGGAATGCTTTCATTCCTATCACCTATGATGACAGTCGCAGGCACAGAGTGTAAGGTCGCCCAGAAATAAAAGACGATCACATACAATCAAAGTAGGCAAGTAAATATATTTTAAAATATAAAATTCATTACAAATTTTACTGTGTGGTACAATTCTACAGTGTGAATAAAAAAAACTGAACCATTTCAAATTCAAATTAGCTATAACGTATTGTAGTAATTTGGCAGCTCTAATTGCTTTAAATTAATGGTTGGATAAGAACACTAGGTTTTGTACTCATGGGACAAAACTCAAAGAAATAAAAATTAGAAAGTTTAAATGTTTTTAAGAGTTCTTGTGTTCGTACCAACTATTAATTCAAGGCAATTAGAGCTGTCAAATTACTACAATACGTTATAGCTAATTTGAATTTGAAAGGGTGTACACCATGTACGTATAATGATATATTTACTATACACTAATACACGTCTGGGCCGCCTGTGATTAGAGCTGTCAAATTACTACAATACGTTTATATAGCTAATTTGAATTTGAAAGGGTTCAGGGTTTTTTTTATACACACTGTATAAGTGAATTTTATACATAAAGAAACTGTATATTTCAAAAACTCATTAATAATTCATGAAGCAATTATCCAATCTTGAGTAAGAAATTAGTCACGTGCATACGTCTTTATACCAGCTAAAGAACACTTTAACAAAAGACCATTGTTATGCAGACTATATAAAGATTTTTATATAAAGATTTTTATATAAAGATTTTTATATAAAGATTTGACTTATTATGCAAACGTTTTTGAAGCCATTTAAAAAACTCGCAGGTCGTGTTTTATTAGGTCTAAAGCCACTCGCGCTGCGCGCTCGTGGCTTTAAACCTAATAAAACATTCCTGCTCGTTTTTTAAATAGTACATATATATATATATATATATATATATATATATATATATATATATATATATATATATATATATATATATATATATATATATATATATATATATATATATATATATATATATATATATATATATATATATATATATATATAAAGATTGATGATAAGGCCAACAGAACATAAGTCCTTTACTAGACAAAGACTAAGACAAAGATTACGTTGTGCACAGGGTCTTAGCTAGGATTTTAGATCTTGGGCGTGTTTCTAAATTATTAGGGTGTGCACATGTCAATTACCTTGAATAGCCAAATTCACGGTTCTACAACAATGGACAATGTCTGTGGTTGTTCTATGCTTTGCAACCAAATACAAGGCGAGCATATGCTCATATATATTGCGCACTGACATTAAAATATTAAGTTATTTCAGCAACTCTTGGGGGTATTTAAAACCACTTTAACACCATGCATACGGTTCCCATTATCCATCAAAACATTACGGATCACTTTTGCCAATTTCAGCAACAACAATAGATTTTACAAACTTTCTTATGACGTAAATAGAAAGAAATTCTGTCTGTTCTAAGTAGCACCATTATATTTTATGAACCTACACGGCCTTATATAAATAATGAAGCCGCGCTCATTTTATCTAGCCGTGTTTTCCCATTTTTGGCCGCGATAACACGGCCAACACGGCCCTCTAGCTAAGACCCTGGTTGTGCATGCATACAAAACTAAATTGAACAATTAGCTAAATGGCTTGCTGGAGGGGTAAATTCAAATTAAGATAATCGTAAATCGATTATTATAAAGTCATTATTTATTAAACTCATTGTGTGGTGGTCTCTGCATGTTAATATTTTTCTTGTTGAAATTTTTGGTTTGTTTTGCACTGGTGTTAAATATTCTGCATAATCTGAACTACAGTACGTTTTATTGTAGCGGTCAAGAATAAATTAATTAGATAATTTTTATTTAAACATAGTGGTTCTATAAGAAATAATACTTTACAAATGTTAAATTATTAAGTCTGATCTACCTAGAAGCCATATATGGGCAGCAGCGAAGTATGTAGTTGCAGTTCGCTACTGTAGCGAATTATCAATCTTCAAGTAGCGAGTAGTTTTCGACTACCGTTTTTTAAAACAGTATAGTTGTCGCTGTAGTGAACTACGTTTTTTCAGTAGCTAAGTAGTTGATTACTTATCAAGCAACAACCGCTGTTCGCGACTTTTCAAATTCGGGAATTCCACCGATCAATCGACTAGCGCGGGTGCGCAAACAGAATATGGCATTGCACCATTATATAAAACTTGGCATTTTGTTAAAATCAATTCGCGTCTCGGTCAACTAGTAAGTGGTTGGGTGTTTTTGCATCCAAATTCATAACCACAACTAAAATTTGATCGATTTGGACTTGTCCCATAAGGTCTATCAATTTTTACATTACAATACTTGATACTTTTTAAGTCATCGGCTTTTAGACAAAGACATACTTTTGAGTCCTCGGCGAATTCAGACATAAAGGGCTAGAGATCTACAACGATTAAAACGGCTTAGAACATTTATTTATCAGTGTATTATTTATTGTCGGAATATAATTTAAAAAACAAAACGTTATAACAATATAATGATAAACTGAGTAAAGGGATTTGAAGACGAATTATCTTAACTTTACCCGCAAGTTTGGTCCTTCGCCTTTTCTAGTACTAACTTAAAGCCTGCAGCATGCAGCACGCGAGGGCTATCTCTTTAGTGACAGCCTCGTCCCCGGGCGCTTTGCTTTGCTCAGTGAGCAAAATGTTATTCGTGCCCGTTTGCTCAGGACTATGGCTCCCGTGTGCGCGTGTATTTTATTGATTTTCGGACCTTATGCAACCTTGTTTGATCATCGGTTTCCAAACATGTTTGATTTTCGTCTCAAGGTTGAATGAAGGCAACAACTGAGTGAAATTAAGTGCTGAGCCAACGGGCACGAATAACATTTAATTGGCTCAGTCTCAGGATATAGCTCTCGTGTCCAGCAGGCTATAACCAATTTATTAAACAATGTGGTTTACTTCAAAAATATCTTAATTAGTTACCTTCTCCAAAGACCATGCAAGATATAGTTAGTAAAAAGATAACGGAAACCTTTTTGAGAAACGACATCTCAAACAGCTCACAAGTTCAGCAACAGTGACTTGAAATGCAATAGCTGACGCGTATGCGTATTACATAATATACAGGGTGTCAAATTTCAATGCCGTAACACAAAGGATTTTGACAGGGTGATTAATTTGTTTTAAAAAATTAAAATATCTTTGTAAAGTGAACGTTTGTTTGCTCATGGGAATTTAAAAATGCTTCGTAAATTCGTGGGTTTAGTACTTTATGCCTGACATAACAAGTTTACGCTGAGTATTACCATTCATTATAGCAGTTATGTCAATCTTTTATGCACTCGTGGGATTAACTTAGTGCTAGGGCATTGAATATCGAACAATACGTCAATTTCAATGATTTTGGGTTTTTTTGAGACACCCTGTACAGGGTGTCTCAAAAAAAAGCGCAACCTCGGAATTTCCCAAGAAATCGACATTGTTTTAAAGACAAAAGATTTTAGGCGCCTGGGAATTTAAAATAGCACAACTGTCAAAATTACTGCACACGCGAGTGCATAAAGCAAAATTTATGCATTTATTTAATGCACAACAACAGTAATATGATCTATTAGCAATGCGATTTCAATTCCCAGGGCCTAAAATCTTTTATGCTTAAGAATTGCAAAGTAATTTCTTAGGAAAATCTTTTATGCTTAAGAATTGCAAAGTAATTTCTTAGGAAATTCCGAGTTTTTTTTATACCCCTGTATATTCATGCATTCCATTCTGTGTTATTTTAGCGGAACAAATTTCAATTAATTTGCAATGCATGCATAAAAATGCTCTGCTATAACGTTTTACGCATTCCAGGGCTCATTAGGGAGTTAAAGCATTCAAATTCGAACATGCGGCAGTAGCGCTTGACTTCAAAGGGTAGCTTTTTTTTGGGACACACTGTAGCTATACAACTCTGGCTATACAGTACAGTATAGGTTAGTGGGCAGGAATCTCTATTATTATGGCGTGTGCGAATTCGTCACGCGAAAAAGGCGCGCGTTCGGATTGTGCACGCATAAGACACAGTTACTGTGGGTTTTTACTATCATGGATTTGTTTATAATAAGTGTGCAACTAAGTGTCGTCCTACAATTAGAATTGTAAATATTTTAATCTGGAATAACCGTTTTAGCGCAAATTACTGGTATGTCAATAACCTGTTTATGCACGCATATATTATTTTCTGATTATGTTCTAGACTAGCTAGTGCTCGTCGGCCATTCACTTTTTAAAATTGTCGATTGACTACGGGGTAGGATGGGGCAACGATTTATTGCTATTCGTAGATTCATGTACGCGTAGCGTACCTATTTTTATTTATATTGTTATCATCCGTAATGTCTTTGAGCTATTATCTCTGATTATTTTTTACCTTTTTAGATACCTAACATATGTTTATACACACATTGTATACTAGTATTATCCATATTCAAACGCCATTGGTCTCATTGGATAACTTTCGTCGAATATACATGCGTATAGTGGGCTAATGTCTTCACACGCCATTAAGCCGTATTTTTCAACAAGTATAAAATCACAGGTGAGGAAGCAAACTAAACAAGATCTGATGAAACGTGACGAAGGAAATATAAATATTGATTATTTACAGTTTCTCAAATACATAGATTACTTTGCTCTATAAATACTCCTAAGTCTACTGGAATTGACAAAAATTATTCGAAACAAATTATTAACAAAATTAGTCGAACCGAATTACTAACAAACATTTTCAATAGGGCAATTGGCAGTGAAACTGTTCCATCAAAATAGAAAGCGGCAAGAGTCACTCCTTTACACAAAAAATAGCTCTCAAAACTCTATCGACCTATTTCTATTCTGCCTGTTATATAAGTAAAGTTTTTGAGAAAGTTTTATATGAACAATTACATGAGTATTTTGTTGCAAACAATTTGTTATCTCATCATCAGTTTGATTTCATGGCAGTTTCATTCTACAGTGTTTACCCTTTTGGACAGCGCAAATGAATGGTTACATTGGCATATGGTCTTTTGACACAATAAATCACGAAATATTACTAAATCTACACGGAACAACCAGCTGTAAACCTTCTTCAATCACACCTAGCAAATATAACCCTAATATGTTAGATAAGTGTGGAATTCCTCAGGGGTCAATTGACGGGCCACTCTTATTCTTAATCTACAGTATATCTATATATATATAACGACTTGCCGTACAGTTTGAAGTATACTCGTCGGCAAGATTGTTTGCTGACGATACGACATTAACTGTATCTAATCTGCCAGTGACTCTCTGCAAATAAACTGCTACCAAATCTTGTTAAAACTGAATATTTACTAATTGGATCACGGCTCAATATCAATAGTCTATTTTCTGATCCTATTGTTGATGTTGATGATAAACTAATAAGGGTCAGAAAAACAAACGCACTTGGAGTCTATGTCGACGAATTTTTATTTTGGGAAAAGCATATTGATAAAATTGCTAAAAAGTCTCATTGGGAATTGGGGCGATCAGAAAAGCTAAAATCTGTTGTTGAATCACAAAACATTAATATGTGCTTATAATGCACTAATTCTACCACATTTTGATTACTGCTAGCTGCGAAGTCTGGGATACTATTGGCGCTACCTTTCTGATAGTCTGCAAAATAGGGCTGCCAGAGTTATAATGAATCGTAAAAAAGAACATGCTCAATCTGAACTTGTTCTAATTGAACTGGGATGGAAGCTATTGAGTGAACGCAGAACTCAGTTTGTAGCGAGTTTGATGTATAAAATAACCCGTGGTCGCCCATGCACCAAAAACGCTAACTGATATTTTTCAAAGGATGTGTTCCTCTCAATATTACAGCTTACGAGGGTCATCCACTAAACTATATTTGCCCAATTCTAAGACTGAATATCTCGAAAAGGTCTTAGTTACAGAGGGGCAATTACAACCTCTCAGATGAATTAAGAAATCTCTTCCTACCTTTAATACAAGTATTGCGACATCTGACCGGTTAATTAAGTCAATTAATTAATTAATTAATTAATTAATATTCTGTAATGTTTGTAATGTGATATTCTCTACGCCCCTATTGGAAATCAGCTTTTACTGTAGGGGTTAGAGTAGTCAAATAAAGTTTTACCTATCTACCTACCTATTAAACAACTTATACATGGGAAAAACATGGAGGTATAAAAGACAAGGTTAGTTTATAAAACAATACAACGTCAACAGCTGGAGTAATCTAAAGCTCGGATCAAATATTCAAATGAGGTTGAGAGTGCATGAGAGTGCAACTTTCCCAAAACAATCATGCATTTTATATTAAGTGGAAACGTAGTTGGAGCACTACTTGTGAAACCGTTATTTTGTTAATCTAGAGCTTCAAATGTCCCCCTAACAATTCGTGACTGCCAAACTCTCATTCTCGTTTGACCGGAACGTAAGGCGAATCAAAGAAATCTTTGCGAGCTCACAAGATAAAGGTGTTAAACGACTGGAGTATGTAGTATACGTACATAATTAAATAATTTTTTATGTACTATAGGTTATTTTCTAAGTACTATACTGTAATCTAGCTTTAAAAAACTCATTAATAATTCATGAAGAAAACACAAAGAAAAATCATAAGCGTGTCGTATCTGTATATGTGATACAGATTCATGTTGATTTACATAAACTTTAACATTGATTTTCTCGGCTTAGACAAAATTTATTTTTAAAATTACTTCGCCAATGAACTCATAAGATGAGTCGTTTTTTAAGTTGTTTACAACATTCGCGTCCGTGTTGTATTGGATATACAAACTCTCGCCTTCGGCTCGAGTTTGTATATCCGATACAACACGGCCGCTCATGTTGTAAACATTACATATAGACTGATATAGTATATCCAAACACAACAAAAGAACAATTTCTTGCAATTTATTTAGTTTCCCGTTTAATTCCTTCACTTCCTGCGCAAAGCAGTGGAATGCGATGTATTAGGAAGCCCGTGGAGTTCTATAAATATATGTTTTGCAAAGGTGTTAAAAAATTGTCATATAGGGACAGAAAAAAACAAAAACCGAAAAATGAAAACACCTTAAAAAGCCAAGATATACATGTATGGACCAAACCAAGACGTAAATTTAAATAGTTTGATCTACTACAGAATCACCATCAGACCAACTGATTTAATGATTTTTTAAATAATAGGATCGAAATATAAGAATTTAAATTTACACCTCCATGGGAGGTTAATTAAGGTGTTTGCATTTTTCGAATTTTGTATTTATCATCAGAAAGAAAATCGAAGGTTAAAAGATGCTGTACAGTCCGTTCTGCGCATGCACACATAGAAGTCTCCTGCCGTGATATAAACAGTTTAATTAGGTTTTTATTTATGTTCTTGCAAGGCTAGATTGTTGTGTCTTGATAATTTATTATGCTCTAGAAGCATGAAAATATATTAAATAGTTGTCGAATAAAATTTAATATTTTGGATACAAAAATGTAAACAAAGGCTTTATTTACATACGGACTGTACCGCACCTTTAAAATGTCAGTATCAGTACCGTGGAGGTAAAATGGCCCTGGGTACGAGGTTGGTCAGTATTGGAAAGGTTAATATACCCCGGTTCCAACGTACGAGTAGCGTGATTTTGTTTTGCAATTTTCATCGATATTTGTACGAGGTTTGCTCGCAGTTGTCGTACAATTGTTATTTCACAGTAAACCACAGACTCTCGCAAAGTCCTACGTCTTTGTTTATACAATTAGCAACAAAAACAAAGGGAGGAATTTCCGGAAAGAATTGTTCCATTTGGAGAAAGTCTAAGAGTAGACCATTGTCTATAGCGGGAAAACAGAAAAAGTGTGATCAACTATGCTGACGTTAGTGGAAATTGCTTAACAAATGACGATGGGAAAGATACAGGGGGCGAACTGTTAGTGTTTTGGGCCTCGATCAGGAACAAATTCGAGCCCATGTAACATGTCGACGGCGGATTACGAACTTAAGCTTGAGAACATTCAGTTATCTTAAATTTCCAAAACACGCAACAAATTCAATCTTTTTTGCAAGCTAGGTTTTTTCGCTAATGTATTGTTGGCTGTACAGAGTTTCTGTTTGTTTTTTAAGGTAGTAATATAACCACTCAGCACAGCATTTGTACTAACTTGTACTGCACGGAAGGGGCTAATTAGGAATCATACAGGTAGCTCAGAAACCAGTTGTATTTTTAACAAAAGGAAATATTCTGAATGTCCTCCTTCTAGTAATTCCAGATCCCCAAATAGCTGCGGTCCTCAGTCCGCGTCCGATGGACCGAGCGCTCAATCCGCCCCTGGAAAGATACATGTAGATGAGCGTAGGGAAAGGCACAAACGCAAGACAAAATCTGATGTTAAGAGTAGGACTGAATAGAGTATGCTACAGGTTAAAAACTCGAACGTTCACTGACTGCATGGCATGGAGAAAAATGGAATTTCGAAATGACTGGATGCGTCAGGTTTTATTTTAAGAAAAATTTAGAACTGCACATATTAAGGATGTTACGAAGCATCACGTGTTTGACTGGGGGGTCAAAGGGTGTTTGACTGGGAGGTCAAAGGATTTTTTTCTATATTTAACGTTGTAAATTTATAGTTAACGGTGTAAATTACGATAGACTCTTAACTTGTATATAGGTGGCAGAATAAAGGTGTGGTTGGGTGGGGCCAGACAATATACAATAACCTTAGCCAGCAAAGAATATTAGGTTCTCCCACTCTAATCTCTTTTGGATAGCTTCGCTCACACAAATTTTACCTCCTGTTCCATTACCCCCAGCACGTATGTGATTTGTGAGGAAAATATGAGGGTCAGGCGGTCCTCTCCCAGAAAACATTTAGATTTTTTATGCTCAATGACAGCATTTCGGGCATCTGAGCATCCACAATGAAAACGAGTAAATGAGAGGACTGTTTCGAGGTTATATTTTTGTTAATTTGGTGACTGCACATTCGAGTTTTAAGAACTGCACAAATGGGTTTAGAACTGCACATTTTGTGTAGAACTGCACGTTAAAATAATCCCTGGGGCCCGATGCGTGGATGGCACTATCATGAAGTCACAGAATGTTTACACGTTCTGTATAGCGCCCACATTGAGCAACACAACAAAGAAAATGTTTTCCTCATTTTGCCCTTCGTGTGCAAAAATCCGACGATACACAATAAAACAAAACAAGATTCATTAAGCCATGTTCGCTAGAGAGCATAATTTAATGTTGGTAATATCAAACACATCAGAAATGTTACACTATCCCCATACTAAGCTAAGTTGATTCATGTAATGTTAACGTTAATAAAGTTAATATTCATCTCCCTCTTCGTCTTCTTCACCGTCTTCTGGTTGAGAATCGACACCAACTTCTTCGTAATCTTTCTCCAAGGCTGCCAAATCTTCACGAGCTTCAGAAAATTCTCCTTCCTCCATACCTTCACCAACATACCAGTGAACGAAAGCACGTTTGGCGTACATCAGATCAAATTTATGATCCAATCTTGCCCAAGCCTCAGCAATGGCTGTGGTATTACTTAACATACACACAGCACGTTGAACCTTGGCCAGATCACCTCCTGGTACCACAGTTGGTGGTTGGTAGTTGATACCAACCTTGAAACCAGTTGGACACCAATCTACAAACTGTATGGTACGTTTGGTTTTGATGGTTGCAATGGCGGCGTTCACATCTTTGGGCACGACATCACCACGATACAACAAACAACAAGCCATGTATTTACCATGACGTGGATCACATTTCACCATTTGATTGGCTGGTTCAAAACACGAGTTGGTGATCTCAGAAACTGACAGTTGCTCGTGGTAGGCTTTCTCTGCAGAAATAACTGGAGCGTATGTCGCGAGTGGGAAATGGATTCGAGGGTAAGGGACAAGATTGGTTTGGAATTCAGTGAGATCAACATTCAGTGCTCCATCGAAACGCAGGGAGGCGGTAATTGAAGAAACAATTTGGCCAATCAAACGGTTAAGATTAGTGTAGGTTGGTCGTTCGATGTCGAGATTTCTGCGGCAAATATCGTAGATGGCTTCGTTGTCGACCATGAAGCAGCAATCTGAATGCTCAAGAGTGGTGTGGGTGGTGAGGATGGAGTTGTAAGGTTCAACAACTGCGGTGGAGATCTGAGGAGCTGGGTAAATGGAGAATTCAAGTTTGGATTTCTTGCCATAGTCAACAGAAAGACGTTCCATCAATAAGGAGGAGAATCCGGAGCCAGTGCCGCCTCCAAATGAATGGAAGATGAGGAAACCTTGGAGACCTGTACATTGGTCGGCCTAAAATAAATAAAAAGATTAAGAATCAAGTAATAATCTGCACCAACTACAGGAAATTTCAAATTTGGCTTGCTCCGCACTCACTTATTGTGCGAAAGGTTCTACAAATTTCCATTACTTGTGGTACGTGATTACAAAGGTTCCTGTTAACTGCGTTAACTGTAAGCACATAGCTATATGACTCGGTGAACAGAATCTCACGACATTTTAAGAATGGCTGCCACATCAACAGATGTCTTAACTAAAATGTTGTTGATATATATTACGTTGTACATATATATTATAATGGCTTTCTGTTGTTACTGTTCTGTAGGATCACAGGATGAATGCAGTTTAGCAGAGTCAACAGCCATGACTAATTTCAATTAAAACAATATATATCAAAAGTATTTTGTCAAGATAATGGCAATCGTGCGATCATAGAACCCATCACATACTGGCACAAGGCTTGTAAATCGTGCAAAATATTCCTCCTCATTAAGTCAAATCGAAATCGCCCTGTACAGACAAGCGGTTTTTCTTGACAAGTTTTATTTGCTTGTATGTACAGCAAAGACTTGCCAGCCTTTCCTTGCCAAGGAACCTTGTAGTACCAAAGCTAGTCATACCCGACAAGTGTACAAGAAATACTTTGGGTTTGGCAAACAAAAGGTGGCCTTGATGCGAGATGAATTTGACAACATTCTGTGCATATACGAGCAATAAAACTTGTCAAGGAAATCATGTCGACCGTATATAGTAAGTTGACAAGGAAGACATGCATGCTCGTCTATACGGGGTTTTTACTGTAAAAATTCGCCGCTGTTGTTTACAATTCGGTGCATTTTAGTACTCATGACGGCTATATATGAACGTTCGTGCAATATGTTGTCCAAACAAGACAATGAAAGCAACGGCTGGAATAATTTACTTTGTCCAAAAGATGAAATAACACCATTAAAAATTAATACAAATCTGATTAGTTTTTAATGAGGATGAAACGACAAAGACTTAGAGACGCTGTACTATTTCCTCCGTCAATAGCAAAAGTCGTTTTCACTCAATAAACTTCTCAAAGACAAAGGAATTACTGTTGTGTCGGGTTGCTGAACTGTAATTCAAAGCCAGCCTCGCGAGTTCGATATAAAACGCTGTTTTACAACCATCCACTGTGGGTCTATAGGGGAAATAGTTGCATCCCTAACAACGAAAGCTTGTTATTATTAGCACTATACCTACACTGACAGTTCTAGGGGGAAAAACGCTGCTTCTCAATGTGATTTTTGAACAAAATAAACTTTAGCCTGTAGACAAAGTATTGTGTTGTTGCTATGGTCACTATAACAGTATAAGCAAGAGGTTTAGAAACTTGTGTGCATGGTCGTCATGGGATTTTTTTTCAACAGTTTGACTTCAAAATTTCGACGATTTTATTCAAAAACACGAGGTCTGTTGTCCTGTAGAGATGCAAGCAGATGTTTTCTAACGTAATGTAAATGATATATCATGTGAATAAATTTTGCGGTATTTTCATGGTGCGCCATTATTTCATTCTTTATTCTCTGTCGATGCTTTCTCATTCTTTAGGCAATACTGTTTTGCTTGTAACAGTAATTTTAGTTTGGAACACTGACGAGCGAGCCTATACAATCCTAAAAGCTCGTTTTTGCAGCAGAGCTAATAAGCATTAAAAACCTGCAGGACTGTGTTCATGGTCATTTATGCACGATTAACAGATGGACTCACCAATTTACGAATTCTGTCCAATACAAGATCAATGAGTTCTTTTCCAACTGTGTAATGACCACGAGCATAGTTATTTGCAGCATCTTCTTTGCCTGTGATCAGCTGCTCTGGGTGGAACAATTGTCGATATGTACCGGTTCGTACTTCGTCTGAAACAAAAAACTATACTTTAGTTATATGCATGCATTTGTAGGAGAGAAACGGAGGCCTCGTATAGGCGAGATTCTATAGCGCGTTTATACGCCAGGCCAAAAAACAAAATAATCTCGGTTTGAGTTTTCGAACAACGCTGATAATCGATTCTCGAATGTATTTCAGATATACAAGCGAAACAAACAGGACTACTGTAAACAGCTCGAGATAATATACTATATGGCCGGGAACTATACTCTATTTATTTAGCAAGACCTATAGAGCACTGTCGCGATTTAGTTTAGATCAGATTCTGTACAAGTGTGATAAATTATCAGTTTTAATCAATTTCATTTTTCTTATCTGTGATAAAAAAATCATGTATATATGGATGTGACAATTAAATCGAAGCAAAATCTACGATACGGTCATTGACAGCTGCTTTTGTGCAACATATAGAACTACACAAATATGAATAAAATAAAAGCCAACTAAGCATAGTTTCCCATACATCTTAGTGTCCGAAAAAACATGCACCTCTACAAACGACTGGATGTAGTGCTCTGTATGCACGCCCAAAAAAATAAGACACAGCTACGCGCAGCGACCCAGACACCAAAGGCATCTCTTACCGACAACTGTTGGTTCCAAGTCAACAAACACAGCTCTAGGAACATGTTTTCCTGCTCCAGTTTCACTGAAGAAAGTGTTGAAGGAATCGTCTCCACCACCGATAGTTTTATCACTTGGCATTTGACCATCTGGCTGAATTCCGTGTTCAAGACAGTACAACTCCCAACAGGCATTGCCCATCTGAACTCCGGCCTGGCCAGCATGAATTGAGATGCATTCACGCTATGTAGGAGAAAAATTGAATAGAAATCCTCAAACAGCCAGAACTCGTATGACTTTGTCTGAACCACTGAACGCCTTAACCTGGGACTGTGGGTTTAAGCGCTGAAATAGAGCGTCGCGAGTTTGGACCTTTTGAAAAATTTAAGTGCGGAATATAGTTGAACAATATAGACAGAATCGCTCAGAATGTTTCGATTTTAAATCGATCGAATCCCAATTGACTATAACGAGAAGTACTATAGCTGTATTCGTTCTCAGTCTTGAATTAGACTTGTGAAATATTCTGCCCGAGATAAGCGCATACTCGTCGCGTACTGTAATCTTTATCTTTGATTCGAGATACGGAATAATATATATACATGACAAAACTATATACATTCATTATCATCTCAATACAAGTAAAAGTGAAAAACTTTGATTCTAATTCTACTAAGGAGAAACAGCGGCATGTACGGTGTGAAAATCTTTCAAGGCATGGAGAACTTACCATTGTTGAGGTTTTTCAGCAAAGGTTGAAGTAACGACACCAAGATTACTCACCGAAATTCTCAGCAGATATGCGAACAACACCTTTGAGTTGTGGTTTATGTATGTTCCTCTCTCTTCTCTGATTGGTTGAAGCATGCAGAGCGTGTCCACCTGTTTTGCATACCTAATCAGGTATCGCAACTTCGAATACCTGACGTTTACTAAAGTAATAGCCGGTGAACAAGACTAAAAATTGGCTACGATATTAACTACATTTCCAAGCCTAATAAAAAGCGAAGATGAGAAAAGGTTGCATAGATATGAGCGTGTAAATATATCTGAAATATTGAGCCGGTGACTATAAATTATGCAACACATGAATCACCTGTGTATATTATGCAATAACAATGCATTAATTACTTAAAACGCGGCGAAAAATCTTGTGTGTATAGAGCTATACAAAGATTTTTTGAAATTAATGCACAATGTGTCTTCAGTTAAAAATTTATTCTGTTTACGATAAAGAAGGAGAGTTTGCCTAAGACCGAATTCTGCATCGATCGTCGCGTAATAAAGTGAGATATTAAAACTTATATGAGGCAAACGAAATATAGAACCTGTGACAATCATTTTCCTCGTCAGGCAGATACAATATAGACCTTTCTTATGACGTCAAACGCGGAAAAACACTTAATGCAATGTCCCGAGGGACAATGCAAATGATGTTTTTATGAAATTTGTTGCGAGGTTAAGCAAGCGACGTTTTTATCAACACGACGTCAGATTGTCGAGGGGCGGTTGAAACTGCCTTTGTGTCAGCTTGTGATAATCTTCAACACATATGACAAAACATTTTGAAAGTTTCTTTCTTCTTTGCGTAACTGAAAAATTAGTTATACCAAATTTTGAGTGATGTCAGTGTTGCCAATAACCTCGCTTGCTTCAGCTCACTAATGAAGACAAGGTCTTATGAAGTACTCTTGTCTGGAAACACCCGTTGAAACAAAAATATGTTGATCCAACATCATGCAACATTGTTGACACATTTCATTCAACTGTTTATTTCAGCTCAACTCTTTTGGATAAAATCACATAAACTTTATCCAGATTAATCTTGCTTCCATTTTTTTGCAAAACATTAATGAATATTTGCAATTGTTGACGGCGTTGGGCCTTCACTACCAATGAACTTCGTCTGGACAGAAATTCAATGATAACTTAATTAAGCAGGAAAACGTGTGTATATATACGTAGTTCATTCAGTTTACATGAGAAATTTATTTTCCCCTAACGATATAATCATGTCTTCCCTGCTTCCCAAAATACCCAAAGCAAGTCAAAACAACGAGTGACTGGGTGGCACGGAGAACAGTGGGATTTACAAAACAATGAAAAGACAACGGAGCATTCCAATTTCCGACCACTGAATTGAGACTGGATGGCACTATTTTGCAAAGTGTTTGGCAGACGAAGCATCCACACTACCAAATGTAACTAAAACATACTAGTACACGTACACATATAATACAGAAAAAACTTAACTCGACAGGCACGGGAAATAGTGGTGAAAGGGAGGTGTATTAGGTGTTATCCATAAAAATAACCCTAAATATCCCTATAATATCTTAAAAATATCCTTTATATCCCCTGGAGATTGCCGGACCTCTAACCACTTCGTATAAGTTTTAATTTAAATCCCATGCGCTGTCTCTGCCTCATGCAGTAAGGTTAGTACAGTACGGGACTCATTGTACGACCAGACCTAGCACACTATACCTTTCCTAATATCATGAGATTGCACAAATGTACATCATCAATAATCAAAAGACATTTGCATTTTTTTCACATCATCAAAACAGGTTTTCTTCTGCACACGAGCAAGTCAGAATATCCTTTGAAATAATGCTTTGAAATTATACAGAACTCGAAAAGGCTTTTTTGTGTCCAACGTGGATAGAGGATAGCCTTTCGATCGTGGATAGCCTTACGATCAGGAATAGGATAAGGAACAGTTAGGAATTGGGTTATAGATCAGAGTATGGGCTCGCAAAGAGTAGTGAGTTTAAGATACCCCGGTTTCGGAGTACGGGTACAGGTAGCATGATTTTGGTTAGCAATATTTTAGGTGCACATTTTTCGCATTATATCATTGTCTATTGCAAAAAAACAGGAAAAGTATGATCGAATTACAGACATTAGTAAAAACTAGTAAACAAGATGACACTATACTCGTACCCGTACAGCGAAACCGGGGTATCTTAAACTCACTAATGTGTCTAAAGTTTCTGCTAATCAATAGTGTCATTATGGTAAGAATTCCGAGGAAGTCACTGCTCCTTATAGGCTACATCTCTCAAAATGTTGCCGACGAATGCACTTGAGACCTTGCTTGAGAACTTATCTCACCCAGAATTTCACAATCAATGGAGATATGGAGTTTATATATTTCATGTTTGTACAAACTAAACTATATCATTCTTCATATTACACATGATATTCGTCATAGGAACCTGAAGAACGTTCGTATACAGTGGTGTCGTGTGAACGTAGCTGTGTACAATATATGCATTGGATTTTTATATTTCATCAATCTCTTCAAATAAATACACTGCACTTGTATATACAATACTGAGATCAAAATATCATGCAGGCTTACAGTCTACACTCAAACTCTTCTGGGTGAAATAGCAGTTTATTCAAGAAGATGTACTAGAACCGCAAGATTCTCTTTGCCCAGGATTGTGAGAGCGGGGAACTAGTGTTTTACTATTTTCATAAACGTGTTGAATATTCATGCTCATCGTGATGTGTTTTTAAAATGCTCATCGTGATATATTGTATGATTGTCCATTTTTTAACAGCGGTGGACACTTAGGGGCTGATTACATGGAGAGTTTTCAGCCTTGGCTGAATTTCAGCCCGGTTTCCCGGCCTGAAATTTCAGCCCGGCCTAAGGATAAAATCCTATTAAAACACAGCAAGCGATTACACGACCAAAATTCCATTGTCCTATTTCGTGACACTCAGATTATTTCAGCCCATGCTGACATTTCAACCCGGGTTGACTATAAATCATAGCTCTGACTAAACTCAGCCCGGGCTCAAACTGCTCATGTAATCGTGATGCAATTTCAGCTCGTTTAACCGAGCTGAAAATTCTCCATGTAATCAGCGCCTTAGCTAGTGGGGAATTTAGGTTACCAACATATTGTGAACCTTTCAATGTTTTCAGTCCTCGTTACCTAAAAGAATGAGGTTTTCAATGTTGGCGGCTTCTTACAACTTAGTTATACTTATATAGACAATCCTCTATCTTATCATAAGGGATATTAATCAAACCTGGCCTCAAACAGGTAATTCAAATTGAAAACTATAATGTTCATGAAACCAAGCAGTCACTGTACAATATTTTGCAATTGTCCAATGGATATTAGATCCTTACCACAACTGATGATCACGCTGCATTTTCCCTATCAATGTGTTTTAACAAAACTAAACAATGTCAAAATATTGCCTTACTGTCTTTGCACATATATATCAGACTAACCAATCCCACACACAGCAGCTAACCGTATGTTACGTGGACGACTTTTTCCCTGCTCCAGGTTTGAGATAGAGGTCCTCAGCTATAGCAAATACGTCAGCTCGACTGTCCTTGTTGTATTCCAAACATCGACGAACGAAATTCTAATTGAAACAAAACAGGTTGAAAATCAAACAATCGTACGTAAAAGGCTATATTCTTATATCCAGTGCAACTTCAAATACGGTCCTATCAAGGATGAAAAACAAGAACTGTCCATTCTAGGATGGAGGCTTCAATGTTTTCATCATGCATTTGAAGGTTTAATTCGCTCAGCCAATCAGTGTTGGGCTGTTTCCTTAAGCCCGGTTTGCCGGGATGGGATGGAAGGTGGGATAATTTTGGTGTATTGAAATAAATCACTAGGCAGGGGTGGAAAAGATAGGCGAGCACGGGAGCACTGCTCGCAGGAAATGTTAAACAGCTGCAGGAAATTTGTTTGAATCAAGATTTGCCATTGAAAATGTGAAAAAAACCTTAACACCCCATGTCCTACCATGGGCGCAACAACATATGGTTGACAGACACTATTCCTTGAATTTAAAACCATGGTCAGCTAGAACACTCTATGTTTATGCACATGCAGATTTAGCACAAAATACTCCGTTGGTCTGCAGGACATTTTTATCTCCAGGTAGTGCCCTGTCACCAGGTTTAAACGAAAGTTCAAACGCTGGTTAAAAGAACTCGAATGTTGTAGAAAGGATCTCGTTGTTGAAGAAGATTATTATTGCTGCTTGAACTAGTGCGCTAACCACTGTGCCACTAACACCCACTAAAAAGTAAAGGAATAACGGAATGAGCCAACAGTCTCGACTGCGCATCCAAATAACGAGTTCTGCGTCGGTTCTGCAGTGGATCAAAACATGTTGCTGAGACAGGAAGCATTAAATATTATGCAAAGTATTGATTTGTGTTTCACTTATAGCCATGAAACTGTCCATTAAATATTTTGTCCTCTATGTAAAGCGAAATAAAGATTGTATTTTCTAACTTAAAGCGAGTCAATAAAATTTCTATACATGTTGAAGTTCAACTGTAATTTATCCACAGAATGCGTCATTTGGATGCGCAGTCGAGAATACACACTTCCGGAAAGCACGTCATCTTGGCTATAAAGCCTCGTTTTCGTGTATGTGAGATTAGTTGAAGCCTAACGTCTCAAACACGAGAACGAGGCTCTGTAGCCAAGGTGATGTACTTTCCGGAAGCGTGTATTGGCTTATTACGTTAACTGAAAATAAAGTAATTTACTCCTAAATATCCTATTTCTATCCATTGCTTACCTTCGCTTCATTGCTAACACTGGGTTTGGGTGGAAACTCAACTTCTGTCGCTTTTAAAATTGTGTGATTCTCGAGTATTGCCGTCTGGGACATATTGTGACCAAAAGGCTAGAAATAAAGAGAGCAATTAAAATATGTCACTGTAACCTCGTTCTCGTAAATGAACATTATAATTAATAAACAACAGTACTTTGTTTCTACTTCATTATGTTCTCTCATATCGCGTGCCCCACGAGACAACCACGCAGCAACTTTGGGATGCATATTTATGAAGTGTAATCGTGGAACGTTAAGATTCAAAGTCAGGATTAACACGAAATTGGAGAGATTTTTGTTTTCACTCACGACGACTCAGTGCGTAGCAGGATTTTAGAAAAATATTTGTTAGTTGTATATTATTGACAAGCCCACTTGTGGAAGCACTTATGAAAGAACTTGTGGAAGAACTTATGTCATTTATTATGTAAACATCCGCAGTTTGTGTCTGAACAACCTGACACAGATTAAACACGGTTTCGAGCGAATTTCCATCTCGGGAGAGTTTGTAGACACAACGAACTCTCTAACGAAGGATATATTCTCTTGTAACATCGAATTATTTTCAACTAGTTCAGACACAAACCGCGACAGCTTATTGTAGAAGAAAGTAACACGCTGGACATAGTTTGGGATATGCAAATATTGTCTGTACAAATATCAGTAAGATGCTGAAGGTAGTAATATATAACACAATAGACAAGACGTTTGTAGAAAATGAACATTCTTGAAGTGCGAGGATACAAAATACTTTGAATCTGTGGTGGGCCAGTCATATAGGGTAACCAACTGATTTTCAACCATTAAAAAGTCAAGAAACACGAACTGAAAGAGTATGTACTGTATCTGCTATATTAATATCATTGATATGAGCCTATGGCTATGTAGAGGTTTGTCAGTAAAAAGACTAGTTTAGTAAATAGAACTAAGTTTTATATGGGTAAATATCGAGATTTTGAAGCAGCTTCGCAACTGGATTCTGTAGCTCAGTTGGTTAGAGCGCTGTACTGGAATCGCAGGGCTTGAAAATTGTATTTTATAATCATATTTTGTTAAAAAAAAAACACATTTTAAGATTGTGGATTTTAGATTTACTCTTCGGACTTGTTAGTTTTTACTAGAATTGTTTTTAATTCTATGAAATTTTCTTGTAATTTCCAAGCACTATATAAGACATGGTGCGGTCAACCTTCCTGCCTGCTCTGGTACTTTTGGTGTTGATCCAAAGTATTTTGGTAGAGTCTTTCTTTTGGACACGACGTCGCAAGGACAAATGCCATTATCCAAAACCAACCCAGGGCAATTCAGGTTTGCGTTTTATTTTTATTATACCTAATTTTCATTCAGTCGTTCTCAGTGGTTTCTGTTTCGGTAATATATTAGACCAGGGTGAACTACAACCTCTGAGTAAGAAGCCTAGTCAGATATAAAGACAAGCTTAAGGGCAATCTAAAAGTACTGGACATCCCTGCATGTACACCCAACTGATCAACGTGCATTGAATCTCAAAGAAAGGAAACCAAACTGACGTAAAACAATCAACACATTGGAGATAATGCGGAAGCTTGTGCTACTATTATTAGAGAGATTTAACAGAGGGTAAAACATTTCAGTGTATAAAACACTGCTATCAATATGTGCCCTTCTTACAAACATAAAAAATAAGTTAAAAAGTATATTAAGTTAATTAGGCATAGTTCATTCAACAGGAGAGTCCACCATTAAATAGATCAGTATTGCCCAGTAAATTTTTGGCCCTTCTTGAATCCCACCGGAATGAAAATACGCCATAATGACATCTACTTTAGAATGAACAATTTATCTTGTTTCTACATATTCCCTATAGCCAAGTCCAGTGAGTATTTTTACGGCGACATGAGTCTCTGGGCTACAATAAAGGGTAAACGTGCCACCAATATAAACACATTGAAACCTCGTCACAGTCTGCTGCTTTTCCGGGGCACCATTTTCGAATGGGGCATAAAGCGCACGTACTACATGTACCGCCCTCTAGACAGTTGCAAGATCAAGTGGCGTCGGAGCAGAAAGGGCGAGAGCAAATGTCTTTTAAAGGACGCGAAGAGATGGACCAGAGCTTATCGACGTCAATATGGTCGATATCGACTTTTCTTAAATAACTCTCATCATTTTGTCAACAGATTTTCAAAATATCTGGACACAAATTGTGGACGCTGATACGGGACTCGGAAACGGTATTTTTGGAACACATTTACGGACTTGATTTTCTTATCTTTACCATTTACTTAGTTTAAAACACGCTAGTCCAACTAGGTTTTTGCTTGATCGTATACTTTTACTGTAGTCATTATTAAAACGACAGCATAAATATTAGTCTACAATAGACAACAACCTCGTACCCAGGGTCTCAGGATACGAGGATAACTAGACAAGTGGGGTGTTTAAGACAGCCAGTTAATAACATATAAAAGTAGTGATATCTCAAAGAAATAAATCTTCATTGCATCAATACATTATCCAAGTATTGTGTAATCGTATATATTGGTCGATTTCTATGTTAACAATCACTATTTAAATACACCGATTTCTTACTCCTAATATAGTTGGTCTTAATATGGGATTCCTGTCCCGCTGACCATAACGTTGAATTCTTAAAGTTAATCAATGTATATTTGTTGAGATAAAAGGTAAAGTTGATAAAAGTTATCCCTAATCCGTACAATCCTGATCCTAACCCTTCACTTGTCCCACAACCCAACACTAAAGGTTACAGATGACCATGTTTCCTATGACAAGTTTTCAAATGGCACGTTTTCTTTTGCATGCAAAGTACAAATTTTGCTCGTATATATTAAACGTCGTTAACACAGCACCATTACCCCAAATATGCATCTCTAATTAAATTCGTATACGATCATGTTTATATATACCGAAAACACAGCAACATTACCAAGGGTCAACTAAGAAAATTACATAAAGTAAATTGACAAAACACTTGCACTTAGATGCGGTTGATAGCGATCTATTGTTGAAGTAGCGGCCAGAAAAAGTATATTATCAGTGGTATGGCGGCCAGAAAACTGAAATCTTGTCACAGAAAATTCGTGTACGTACACACGCGCAATAAGGAAATAAAACTTGCCAGATGAAAACTTGTCATAAAAACTTGCTTGTCTGCAACTGGCTTATTAACGTAAAACTGTGTACCAAGTCTTGTTGTTTTTGCTTATTTTATTTCGTTACTGGCAATAAATTACATAAAATCGACCGTTGGCTGCATTGACTTGTTCCTATGCATGCATCATGTGCTTTTTCTATTTTTGACACATCGCATCTTTGCTGTAAGCGCCCTGCAGATATGTAAGTATATAAGCTGGAAAGATGCGGACTGAAAGGTATTCAACTACCCGAACATTACCTACGGTAGCAGACCGTTCGAGTTTATATCACAGAAGTATATAAGCGCCCTAGCAAACCAAAACGCCTGCGTAAGAGGCAGTCGTTTTACAGTTTTACATACCTTTTTGCCGTATAACATTTGATAGAAAATAACACCAATTGACCAAACATCAACCTGTAAAAGTAAACATCTGTACAACCTGTTTACATCAAACCTTAGTTTCTTTGGTTAAATTTTTGTATCGTATCAGTATTTCCCGGTCGCTGCGTGGATAAGTATAGATAATCATGTGATGGCGAGCACAGTGGAGGATTAAGAGTGCGAGTAATTCATGGGTTGGAAAGGTTGATGGCTGCAAGTACTAACTTTGTTCCGACACTGCAGAGTACAACGAAAAAGTCTAATGCGGCATCGAACTCGCATCTTCGGCCTTCTAGACCGTCGCTCTACACATGCGCTCTACCCATGAACTCTGTTGATGTCATGGATGGAGTTCTACTGCTCCACCCGACCCATGGAATCTGACCATGTTTACGTCATGGATGTGTACCAGCCGATCCAAACCACTGCCGATGGGGTGGAGCTCTATGATGTCCCGGTACAGAACCCCCCTTTCTGCACACTACAATTGGTGTAGTTGTAGTCTAAAACTCTTTATCAGAACTCACCTTGGACGAAATCTTTGGTGGTTCTTTACTGACAACAAAACATTCAGGTGGAAGATACCAGTATGTCCCAGCACCTTGTGACGTCAACTCCATGCTGTCGTCATCTGTCTCAATTATTTTACTTAAACCAAAATCTGTGATCTTTACTTCACCACAGAGAGATCCATTGCCAACAAGAAGTATATTACCTAGAGAACAAACGGATAACAGTCCTTCAATAAGTCTTGAGAATTATCTTAGAATAATAGCTAGCTAGTTAGCTAAGCTTAACAAACCAACTTTCCAACTCTCCTTGCTCGAATCGTGGCGAACAAACGTTTCGTGAAAATATTCACACCCCTGTCATGTAGCCATAGACGGATTTTCATATTTATTACTGGGGTGGTGCCAGAAATTTTAGGGGGGGGGGGGGTGAGCAGGTGACTGAATCAACACAAAGTATCACCAAACCCCAGTAAAGTCTATATTCTAGGGGTGGAGCACTAGCGCCGCGAGGGGGAGTCTAGAGAGCAGAAAACAAAGTATCCCTGGTGAAATTTGAAAAAAATCATGATTTCTAGCTTCGAAAAAAAGTTTTTTGAAGTTGTCATATCAATGGATTTGGCATGTCCGATTGTCTGTTGAGACTTGAGAGAGTTAAAGTTAAATGAACCTGTAAAAGTGTAAACCCAATAGGCCAATACACAATATGTTTTTACTTTTATAAAGTCATTGACATTGTGTCAAATCCAAGTACAATTTATGATGCAACTCTGATGTAAATAATATTTGGGGCATAAAGATTAAATCTAGGCAAGTCTATTTCCTAAAAGAATTTAAAACTAAAAATAATTTTCGTAAAAATTCCAAACGTTCCTTGCAAGCAAGCTATTTGCATGACAAGGCACTGCAAACTCTATTCAGGGGAGATAATAGAGTTTCGAAACTTTACAATTTACCAGTGAATGCAAGCAAGGAGCGATTAGTATTGCACTGTAGTGTACTCCTACGTTTATTTAGTATCATCAACACTCTGCACGTTGGAGTGGACTATTTAATTATTTTTTATTATGCCGAATATTGGGGGGGTTGAAAATTTTTTTGGAGGGGTGGCCATTTTGTTTGGGGTGGTTATAGCTAATATTGGGGGGTAGCACCCCCCTGCACCCCCACAAAATCCGTCTATGGTTTACAGTGGGCCTGGCTTGTCAGGTTGAGTTGCCCGTAGCCGGGGGTATGCCTGAGCCGGCGTCTTGGTATATTATGGCAGATAGTTGCTGATCATGATTGTATTTATTGGTTGTATTTATATGGTCCGAACCTAGCTCCTGTATCCCTGTCTACTTCGAATTCTCTACTACACATTACACCCTACCATGAAAATTGCCATTTTCAGGCCAGTGTGAACACCTGAGCAGGCGTCTTGTTTTATATACAGAAAGGAATAATCTAACAGACAATAGGTTTTTCCTAAGATCACTCTGCCAGTCTGCCAGACTGTGGTTTTTGTATTAAATGTGCATGGAAAATGTTCCAGGCAGAAGATCTGCATTTTTAGATTTTAATCATCATCAGGAATTTTTTTTTCAACATTTTGACTAGATTTTGGTCATCATTACTCATTAATTAGGAATGAACGATGATGACTGAAAGTATTTCATTCTTGACAATGACAAAGTCCTGATATATGCATGATCTAGCTGAAATGTTGAATAAACAATTTCAAAATTTTACTATTTTCAGGGTTACTATTGTTTTGTATTTAATTAAAATACTCAGTGATTCCTGCAATTTCTTACAACTCTACCATCTCGGTATAAATCAACCATTGTCATATTAAAAATTACCATAGTTTTTTTATGAGAGCAATTTACCTGTAAAAGACTTCACCAAGTGGTGTCCAGTCTGCAGTGACATGACCCATCCTCGAATAATATTTCCCAAATACACTTTATCAACTTCTTGCAACTTAAAACATTGTCATAGCACCCTGGAAAACTACATGGTTTTTCAAAGAAAACGAAAACCAACCACAGGAACCTTTATTACCATACCATCAGTGCCTGCGAGCAATTTACAAACTTGGCCTAACTACTTGGTGTAGTGTTTAATGAAGGCAGCGTTCCAAGATGGCGACTTTTCCGCCAACAGCAAAAGGATATCGACCACGTTGTTATTTTGATGTAGAAATCAATGGTGTATCTGGTATGGTTTGTCATTTACATATTATATATTTGACTCAATACGTTTCCCTGTGAGTGCTGTTATAGAACTACTACTGTCTGTACGACTGTACTGCATAGTCGCATACTGACTACTGTGACTAGTGACTACTGCCATAATTTGACATAATTTGACATAATTATAATAGTATATACAGGCCAGAAAAATCTTTATAGTCATATAGAGGGTGCTCTATATATTATTTTAATGGAATTAAGCATCATTGCGTTATTATACTGGTTTGATTTTAGATAAATATGTCCACTGAGGATGTAGCCATTATTTCAGTCAATTTAATTCAGTGGACATGCTGTGATTGACTGATTGTGATGCCAATGCTGCAATTTAGTGCAATTATATGAAGTCAAGTAGTCAACGATGTGTGACTGCATATCACACTCACCAATCACTATATATAAATACAGTCACTTTGTTATAATTACTTATTGGATTCCACTGAGCCCAACATTGCAAAATATTAAAGCCCAACATTGTAAGTTGAGCCCTAATGTTTCATTATTTTGCAATATTGGGCAAAGATTAATCCATGCAATTGGTGTTTTATTATATCGAACAAAGTGATTATAACAAAAGTGTCTTTGTAAGGAATAGTAATAGCAGAGCAGCAATGCAATAGTAATAAAGCAACAACATGTGTCACTTATCAGTTGCAAATTTTCTTAAATAACTAAACAAAAAAGTTAATATTGAGTAATAGGATTAAGTTGAAAAAAGCAAGTGTGCATCACTAAACTCAATTCCATGCATGCATTAACCCCACCCGAAAATTTGAAATGGAAAATTAGGGGTCTGCTAAAGTGTGAACATAATCATGTTCATTGACGTCAGAACCGCTTTCATAAATTACTTAAAGAGTCATTGTCAACGAGGATGCATTGCATGCTTTTGTTTATATTCCCACTGCTTCGCCGGCATGCATTTCAAACCCTTTCAACTCTGAAACAGATACCGAATTGAATATTTGGTGTTAAGATTGTGAAGATGACTTAAATGTGTATGGTTATATGCTTGTTGAACTTGAAAGATGTTGTTCACACTGATCAAGCAGTATTTTGTTTTTGTAATTCAATCCATTCGGCAATCAAGCGCATTCCATTTAGGGAAACCCTTGTCATAGCTTCTAGTGAGTATTCGCAATGTTAGTCACAGAAACGAAGGTTAATAAATATAACAAATAACCAAAGGGATAACAAACTACAGTACACAATGTAAGCTTGAGTAATTACCTTTCGTAGGTAATCGGATATTTCTTCGGCTTATATATGCCGACAGTATTTAGTCAAATTACGAAAAAGATCAAGCCTACTTGAGTTGATTGTTGTGGAGCTCATCAGCGGTTTACCAGAAAGGAAAACATAAAAGGCAATAAGACAGACAAGACAAACACATGTCGAACAAACACTTCCAAGAGCGTGATTCGCATAGACGCAGGCCATGTTGTAAGACGGAATAATGTTATCAAAGAATAGATTATATAACTAATTCAGAAATTTAAGCCAATCATGATGCTGCTTAGGTTGACCTGGATATTATTTAAACTGATCAATATGCGTTACTTATTTCCATGTAAGTGCATATGTCACAGCACACGATTAGCTTCACAGTTTAGCAGACCCAAATTTCCGGTTTTCCTTTGAACGAAATTTCGGGTTGCGAGCAGGCTAGCCACCAAAATGTTACAATTCAGTAGCAGTTACAGTCGTGCCAATAGAAGCGTTCCGAAAAATGTTGACCAGTTCATTTCCTAACTTTGAGGAGTTCCTCTGAACAATTCCTCAACAATTTGATAAGTTCCTAAAAAAGTTCCTAACTTCCTGTTTCATTGACCAATCAAATTTTATATTTTATTTTTGAGCAATCTGATTGGTCAATGAAACAGGAAGTTAGGAACATTTTAAGGAACTTATCAATTTGTTGAGGAATTGTTCAGAGGAAATCCTCGAAGTTAGGAAATGAACTGGTCAACATTTTTCGGAACACTTCTATTGGCACAACTGTAATCATTTTCACATAATGATGATTTGAACATGTATGTTAATACCAAATGGATTATTTGAAACCAGAAATATTAATGTATTACTGTATATGTATTTAGTATAAATTTTGCATATCAAATGAGCTTTTGCACATTCTGATTGGCTAGTTGACTAGTAAATCTGACACATTATTTACTAGCAGACTAGTAAATAATGCTTTTCAAAAAGAATGATTCGGCAAATTTGGTTTCAAAATTGACAAAATATTGAAAAAAATTGTCCTCAGAAACGAAAGAAGTACAAAATGTTGTATTTAACTTGAAAGGTAGGATTCCTTTATTATTTTACTGTGTCAAACATATTCACAGACAATTTTAAACTTATTTAAACTCCGAAACATTCACTTCAAACAAATATTTTAGCAAAAACTATCCCACTGTTGGGAAAAAACCTTGCCATAATATTCTTTTAATTAAATACATTTTGTTTTGTATCCTATAGATTTCTCAATTTTTACGATACTATTTCTTTTGATATTTTCATTATGCTTTATGGTGTTCTGACTGCTGTATTGTGTTTTCGAAACTTCATGTAATGAAATGTGTATTAAAACTTTATTTCGAGGCAATCGAGCAGTAGTTTTACATTCCATTTCACCAATTTTCACAACTTTGTAATAAAGCAATAAAGTCACACAAAAGAAGCCATTTTGAAAGCGTGTGCATACAAGAAACACTGCAACACTATTAATAGTGACAGTAACCGTGAACAGGTTGAAAACAGTTTTATTTCTGAATTTTAATTGAACTGATATTTGGATATTTTGTTTTATTCATTAAAAAATTATACTAAAACAATTATTTACCTCAGGCTCAGTGATTATGGTGAATATTCACCTCGACTTCGTCTCGGTGAATATTCACCGGTAACCACTTTGCCTTTGGCGAATAATTGTTAAATAATCACTTGTTGTTAATTTCTTTGATAGATTCTTTTATAAAATTGTATTTAATTATTGCACTTTTGCCCAAATGTCCTCATTTCCATATTTGCCTGTTTTAGCATGGCAGGTAACACATGAAGTGATGAAGGTTATATATATCCACTAAAAATGGTATTCTTAGTTATTCACAATATTTAGTTGATACCATTTTGACAGTATTGGTTTTGATGTACACTTTACTGGTTTACTGTTTTATTACAGTACAGTACATAAAACAGAAATTATACCGGTGCCATGGCTATATCATTAGTTTTTTTTTCTTCAATGTACTGTATGTGCATGTGAAATAGCATAATTTTAGACTTTAAGCTCCTTTCACCTCTTGAGATTGTGGGTTCGATCCCCGCTACGGACTCCTGCATGACACTTTTGTGAAAAGAGTCTGTCAACGTTGGCTCTACTGAAAATCATGGGTTTCCTCCGGGTATTCCGGTTTCCTCCCATAAGGAATGTTGACAGGGTGTATTGGGATTATCCCCCTAACTGACCCTTCCACCATAGCTGTGCTCTGTGATCAGACATGAGTCATAAGGTGGCTGCCATAGGCGCCCTTAGAAAGCCTTTGACTCGGTCAAGTTGAGCTGCGTCTCTCGTAATTCAGCTTAGCTCTCAGCTGCAAGTAAGGATGATTAGCATGACACTCCATTTACTTACCCCACTTACTGTACTATTAACATTTTAGATCATCAATATTTAGCTAAAATATTGCTAAACTTTTGATGTTTGGGTTATTAATTGGGTTTCAACTGTATTTACTTTATACTGTAGCAAGCATTAGCTAAAAAATTGTAACAATATGCTGATATACTGAGATATGTTTCAAATATTGTTAGTGGGTATTAAAAGTTCAATACCGCTCAAACTCTAATACAGTATCTGCATGTTTAGTGCACAAATGTGTTTCACTTTGCTCCTGAGCTCAATCACAATCATTCTGTGCATGAAACATGAGAAAATAACAACATGAAAATGAGGTCATTGGGACAAGGAAACAATACAGTCAACCATTGACAAAAAAATGCTGACGATATTAAATTTCGTTTTTGGTGGCATTGTGGGTGGCAGTTGCTGTTTGCTGCTGAAGATTGTGAGGACTGTATATGCTGGTCATATACCTGTATATATTCATTATGCAGCTAGCAACTGCATGCCAAGAAACGTTTCTCCAACATGATCGAGAACACCTGTGAACTGCCATCAATATGGCCTGGAATGTACAGTATATGCCAGGTTCAACAGATTACAGGTCAATTTTGACTTAAAAACAAATGAGAAATAAATATTTAAAGCTTAAATCAGAAATGGATTTTTGGATAGAGTGCACATTCCTACAATCTGCAGTAGTCTTGGAAAAAGTTACCATGATTTGGGTAACTTTTCATGGTCCTCCAGAAAATTAGTACACCCTCCCCCCCCCCCCCCCCCCCCCCCCCCCCCCCCCC